AAAAAAAAAAAAAAAAAAAAAAAAATACAAGGTGATCGTATGAATCGAGTGATTCGAGTCGAGAAAAATTTTGTTCGTTGTCCAATTTTATTTATAGATAAAAAAATCACAGAAACTGAATAATTTCTTCTAGATTCGACATTGATACTTTGGAGTTTATGTTAAAGTTTATATTAAAACGAGATCAATATTGAAATTCTTCACAGATTGAACTTCACAGATTGTTTCTTGGGTGTATACGATCGACACGTAAATTCGTTTCGTTTTGAGATAAAGAAATTGAAAAACAAAAAAAGATAACAATAGAGAAAAAAAGAGAATTTGCAAAAGTGCGCCACCGAATGTTTCACGAACTCTGTATTGCTTGATCGTCCGAAGGCGAGCTTTATGAGTGATCGTGAAACGACGAACTCACTTGCGGTCAGGAATGGGGCGAAAGAAGAGGGGTGAATACTGAGTTCCTCTTTCTCCCACTCTGAACCATCTTCAAAAGATCTTCCTTAAATTCTCGATTGTCAGATTAATTGAAATAATTATATAAGCGATAGATTTGTTATTTTTCGTGGCACGTGAAAACGAAACGTTAATTATATGCCTTTTTATTCATTTTTTATCTCTATTTTCTTAATTAAAAAAAAATTTGAGAGAAAAAAATAGACATAGTATATTTTATTCCACCTTGTTGGCAAAGCTTTTAGCATAATTGTCGTATTGCGTTTAAAAGTATGCAGATTTTTAAAAAGTAAATGATTTAACGTTAGGAGAATATTATAAAAGTACTACGAATTGAAATAAAGCGTCTAACTGTGAAATGTGATTTATTTTTTTTTCCTTCTTTATATGTAAAATTATCAAATATAAATAAATAATAAATTTTTAATTATAATAAAAATGTATAATATCTTAATAAAGAAGAACAATATTTATAATATCATGCATCATATTCCATATTTTCATATTCCAATATAAATATTTTTAATACTAAAATACCATTGTATTTTTTTTTTTTCAATTTTTATTCTTGGAATTAAAATTATATTTATATATGTTGAATGATACGTATCATAACGAGATATCACGGATGTCTGATTTGAAAATTCCAATTTTTTAATTATATTTTTATACATTTTATTGTGTATTTTATAACGCGATTATATTTTATCGTAGTGTATTGTTTCAGAATCAAATATGAACTTTTATTATTTTTTGTTCTTTATTTATCACTTTTTATCACTTTTATTACAACATATAATTTTATAATAATTTTAATAATGTAACATAAAAACAATTTATGTATTAAGGAAAAATATAATAAATTAATCTTTACGATAAAGATATTTCAATTTTATGATGTTGTAGTTGCGATGTAATGAATGAGATATCTTTATAACATGTTGTCACGCATATAACGATACAAAGGATGAAGGATAAAGTAAATAATGGAATAGATGGAAAATTTAAAGGATGACTGAAACAAACACAAAAATTGATATGCAAAAAATATTCATTGAAGCTTATTGATTTTTTTTAATTGACTTTTTTTTTTTCATTATTTGCATCGTTACAATTCCTCTAAAAAAAATTACTGTTAATCATTTGTTGAAGAATATGTTATCTTTGTTACACACGTGTAAATTACGATAGAGAGTGGGTCGGGGCCCCTTGTGTGTTGCATTCTTTAGTAATTGTTACGACATATTTAACGCGTGCTCTCCATAAATTAGATTTTTGATTCTTCATTTTCCGCAACTTAAAATTTAATAAAAATTTTATTAGTAAAAAAAAAAAATTGTACCGATATTTTTAGATAATTATAATTTAATACAAAGTTAATCAATTAAGTAATATCAAAATATATTTTCATATTATATTGAAAATATAAATATAATAAAGAAAGAAGAATACACACAATATATGTTTAATTCAGAGGAGACGAAGTAATTCATTCTTAAAGAAAACTATTGAAACGTCCTTAAACTTGAATTCATACAACGAATACAAATAAAAATTCAGACATTCTAACTGAATTTTAATCGCTACTTCTGAACTTTTATACGTGTATTTCTTCACATATGTATTTTCATCAGATCTTGCGTTCACGTTTCTACTAGATATATAGATTATTTTTTTAAATTTTTCATAAAGCTAAAAAAAAATGCAATAATGTACATAATATATTTGTAAATATAATTTATATGACAGTTAGTTCCGCATTCATTAGCTTGCGATCAATTATTCGAACACAAGCATGATGCATACGAAAGTATGGCATACGAACTGACGAAAATCATCGAATCCACAATGCTCTTTATGTGTCAATGGATCAATGAGTGCCAGCCAAAGAAAAGTGAGAATAATTCATTGTCGATTCATATAGCGCATATAGCGCGACTGTCCTTCTCTGCACTATAATGTTACGCATAGCATGTTAGTTATTTTAATTAAAGTTGGATAGAACATTGCGCATGTAAATGCCATCGTACAAGTTATTGAACTTAATATCATTTTAGCCATGTGAAATACAGTTGAAAATGAATCTGGTTATTGATATGTTTTGATAAATTAATAATATATTGTTGAAATTAATTGAAATTAATTATCTGAGATATATTGCAAAATTTATCAAATGTCATAATGAAACATTATAATCAGAAGTTATTGTGAAATTGAAATTATTTTATAAAAATTTAGTATTATAATTTAATTAAGTTATAAAAATAATTTAATTTTTTTTATTTAATTTTATCTTTTTAAGATTATAAATTATTGTTCCGATAATTAAAATACTAGATTATCCTTATATAAGAAAAATATACTAACAAACTTGATTACATGAGAAAAACGATCAGTTAAAAGCGATTGAATAAATTTGAAAGAATTTTGTAAATTAAAAGAGTAAATTACATGAGAAAAAGAAGTGAAACATTTAAAATTGAAAAATTACC